TATTTTTCCCAAATACTTATACAGAATCATCTTGGTGTGGTTAAATTAAATTTCCCAATATTCAATTACCTGATTTTAGAATTCTAAATGAATTCTGAATGTGCATGGGAGACCATATTCTGAGGTAGTATCCTCTACTTGTCTATCATATACTTCCATTTACGGCCACCAAACCCACACTCCCAGGCTGTCACTGAAAATGAACCTCAACAACAATCTTTTTTCTTTTTTTTTTTTTTTTTAAGGAGTTTAGCTCTGTTATGATGACAGAGAGAAGAATACAAGCAAAATTTATTAAAATTTTATTTCTCCCAAATTTGGTAACAGAGAACACTGCTATGAATTTATATATCTCTGATAGATTGTATTATTGCTTGAATATATTTACTCTGTCTACTGCACCCCTGCCCAGGGAGAAGGATAAGGAGTCTATTTCCCTGCCTGCTCCACTGATGTCTGGATTGGTTTATGACTTGCTTTTGGTAATAAATAGAATGTGAATGGACACAGTGGTGTCATATCTGAGCAGAAGCCTCAAATGTGATTCTGTGGTTGAGGTCTCTCTTCCTCTTTCTCACTGTCATGAAAATAGGCATGTCCCCACTAGGATGTGCTCCCATTAGCCTGGTCCCAAAACAAAATATATACCAAAAATGTATCTGGGCCGGGCGCGGTGGCTCAAGCCTGTAATCCTAGCTCTCTGGAGGCCGAGGTGGGCGGATTGCTCAAGGTCAGGAGTTAAAACCAGCCTGAGCAAGAGCGAGACCCCGTCTCTACTACATAAAGAATTAATTGGCCAACGATATATATTAAAAAAAAATTAGCCGGGCATGGTGGCGCATGCCTGTAGTCCCAGCTACTCGGGAGGCTGAGGCAGAAGATCGCTCGAGCCAGGAGTTTGAGGTTGTGTGAGCTAGACTGACGCCACGGCACTCACATCTAGCTGACACAAAGTGAGACTCTGTCTCAAAAAAAAAATGTATCTGAAACCAACTTATAACCCACAGTGGAGGCCAAGCAACTGTCCTGCAGTTGTTGAGACAAAATATGGGGGGAAAAAGTATCTGTTGTTAACAGACCACTGAGATCCTGGGGACTGTTGTGAAAGCTAATACATGATCGTATTCCCTCCAACCACGTGAATCTTATGGCTGGAAAGACTCCTTTCATGTCTAGTTATAAATACGACTAGGATATCTTATTTACAACGAAATGGAGGCTGTCCATGATTGGAAAATATGTGTCTCAACAGTATCTTTACAGGATGAATTAACTGGGCCAAATAAATTAAGAAATTTTCCCAAGGTCACATTAGTGAGAAGCAGAACCATAAATAAGCTTCCAGCTCCTGTCACTGTAAAATGACTCTGGCACTGAAAATTATGCGTCCATGGACCTCCAGAATGTAACATACATCTGCATCAATAGAAGTTAGCCTAGAGCAAACTGTCACTTGCAAAGCATACTGATCTTGTATGAAGATGAAGTCTTAAGGTTCCTACATTACATCACTTTGACACTTATGCACTAAGTCATAGCATGTCTGGGAATGCCAATTGTAGGAAACCCCTTGAATTTTTCAGTTTTAACTAACAAAAGAAAATTCAAAAGATTAGCTCATACATAAAGTCAATTCAAGTACACAGAACATTTCTTGGAACAAATCCAGAATGCCACTGGATTGTGGCATAGGCAGTAGTATTAACAAACCTATAGAAAAAATATCAATCCCTAAGTAAGAAAAGATTAGGGGAGAGAGGATGCAGAAGGAATCAGAGAAGCAGACAAGGTAGTATGTCTAGCACTGAACAAGGAAAGGAGACACAGAATCTGGAGGATCTGAGTGACTGGGACCCAGACAGTGGCAGGAGTCTCTTTTTGGGGTGTGAGGCAATGTTAGCCTATGTGCTAATCTCAAGACATCTACCTTATTTTACCAACTATTATACTCAATAGGTAACCTTCTAATGACTAATTCTGTTTCCCATGTTCTTCAAGAGAGGCACAAAAATGCCTAGGACAGAACTGTCAAGAATTCATTCTAGGCGGGCGCGTGGCTCACGCCTGTAATCTAGCTCTCTGGAGGCCGAGGCGGAGGATTGCTCGAGGTCGGAGTTCAAAACCAGCCTGAGCAAAGCGAGACCCCGTCCTACTATAAAAGAAAGAAACTAATTGGCCAACTAATATTTGAAAAAAATTAC